CCAAAACCATTGAAAGTGCAACAAATCATACATAATCTGAAAGAGGACACTTTGGGCTTTCAGCATATGTGCTTATCTCAAAATCGATTTTTTTCAAAAAAAAATCAATTTTCTGAGGGGGGGGGTTCCCCTTAATCAGTTCGAAAATTTTTTTTAATCAGTTTCAAGTTTTAAAATTCAATCACACCCACATCCTATACACATACGCATGAATAAACTCTACTTTGATAGCATACTCAGATGCTTAACATCAATAAATATTCTACGTTCAATCGATTGGTGTGAATCTAACCTTGAAGATATTTTAAAATAAGAATCTCTCAAGATAATAATCAAAATTAGTATTGTCTTTTTTTTTTTAAAATCAAATGATGTTTAAGGGATTCTAACATTCAATAGAATACAATTTCATTTTGACGAAAGTAAAAGAGAAATCATAATACTTCTCGTTACCAATACAGGATATCTTATGATCAATGATCACAAACCGATGGAATAGTGTTATCTTTAGCCTCGATAGAGATATTTACTTAAACATTCTATTACACCAATTGTATTTATTTCATCTAGGATAAGAACTTACATACAGTCTAGTCGAATGTTTAATCGATCATATCAATTTTCAAACGAGACCCAAACTGATATTCGATATTGACGTAAGAATTGTTTGTATAAGACATAATTCAAAAAATCAACAGTGAATCTTTGTCTATCGATTTGGAAATAATCTTGGATGGGTGTAAATGTTTGATTCCTTCCTCTTCATCCACATTCAAGGTTATAATCAATTTATGCAATATTGATTACAGCCGGTTAAATGATTTTGTTCGAAAACAACACGTCATTTGCTTGCTTTTCGTAGTGATTATAATACTCTTTTCAATATTTGAGAATAAACAATGCAATATCAACCACTCACATCTGAATAGAACTAACAAAATTAGACATGTGCACATGATGACTCATATTGAAAGAGAGTATTGCACACGATCGCGAGCATCGTGGTTCTATTTTCATGTAACACCGACAACATTTAAAGGACGAGGAAAGAACAGACATATATTTTTCTACTACTACGAACAAGCAAAAGCAAATAAAAAGTCGTCAATATTATTTCACTTTCCTTTTTTTCTTTCTTTACATAGGATTGTGTCATATTGACGATGTCTCCTAATCGAATAGAACTGTTACCCATTGAATTATTCTATATTATTTTTACTTATCTTTTGCCACATGAACTTATCTATGCATTTTCTCATTTGAATCATTATTTTGACATTATCTTAGTCAGTTATAATGGATATGTATTCAATTTTTGTTCAATTCTTAAATCTCAATACGATATTACATGTCATCATATTCGACCAGATCAAGTCATGTCTCTGACACTCTCAGACGATGATGAAACACCAAATCAATCGAAACTTTTTTTTTCTCATTTCAACATCGAACAATTTATTAATCTTCGTGCATTCAATATGAGTTCAATCAATAGTAATACATACGAGCAACTATATAATTTACAGAAACTTAAAAATTTATCATCACTTGAGTTACCTCGACTTTTTCAACCGTCTTACATTGCTTTTGATTCTATTATTCGAGAATTACTTTCTCGATTATATCGACTAACAGCTTACAATACGTATTATCTTCTTGATCAATCATTACCTTGTCTTCGTCATTTAACTCTTAAACAATGTAATTGTGAACAATTCTCAATTTTACTAAATCGAATTCCTCATCTTCATTCATTGAATATAATACTTTCGATTGATATTCATACAGATTGGTCAAATTATACAACAAAATTAATTCATTTAAAACGATTAATACTGACTTTAAATGGTAAGTCAATGAACTTTGAATATGTTTGATATTCGATATTTTTATATTAAGGTGAAAAAGTAACAATGATACAAATGAAACAATTTCTATCTAAATTACCTAATCTAACACATTTTCAATTCTCAACACAAGGTGATATAGATCTTCTTGAAGGTCAACAATGGGAATTACTTGTTTCACATTTAATTATATTCGATTTTCATATTCGTTTACTTTGTTCATCATTTCAATTTTCCATAAAAACTATTCTTAACTCATTTCGTTCATCATTTTGGCTTGAAGATAAACGATGGTTTGTTGCTTGTGATGGTTTACGTTTGGAGAATATTTTCACTATACCTTGTTTCGTTTCAAACATTGTTACATATCCTTATGTAAATTGGCCACCATTATGTACATCATCTGATTTCAATTTCGATCCATATATCAAATGTCTTCAATTGTCATTACTCAATCCAGTTCCTCATCGTTTCACTAATATAACATCAATTGTGATCAATACAGATGAAATTCTTACTGATCTTGGATTATTAGGATTCGTTAATCTTGTTGAACATATGCCTTACTTGAATACTATTACGCTTCGAGATCTGTCCGTATTGAATTTTGTTCCAAATAATGTTACATTTACAAACATACGCAATTTATATGTACGCCATGTGTATAATAGAGACATAAGTCAACTAACTCGATTATGTACAATTTTTTCTCGACTTGAACGTTTGCATATGAAATTAATTTCATGGGAAGAATTGTTTTTCTTAATTGATCAATTGAAATATCTATCAATTGCCAAATTCAAATTCTATTATTTATCATCTTTTGTAAGAGATTCATATCAATCATCATCCATGATATATGATCGACTTATCAAGAATTCTCGACGTTTGCAAGCGAACAATAATTTTACATACCAATATATGAACAATCAAATTCATTTATGGATGAATCAAGAAAAAGTAAAATTATTTTTGAATAAGGAAAAAATTGTTCTAGGCGGATATATCAGACATGAATTCTATTTGTGTTGTCAATTTCGTTTTCAATCGAGAATTGAAGCAACAATTGCCTTAGTATGTAGAAAATATAATCACAATGGATATGAGAATTCAGTTGAATTTGGAATCGCTTATATTTCGGTAGAAATTAGATTTTATCAAAATCGATCATTCAAGGAAAGCACAAAACGATTCGCTGGAAAGCAGAAATATTCATTATAGTGACTTTCAGATTAATAATTTTCAGTAGCCATTTTTCTTTGTTTTTTTTTAAATTGGTGGAGACATGGGAATATAATTAAATTTTGATCTAAATTCACAGAAATAATCTATATCTAATAATCAAATTCTTTGCTTTATTACTCTTCATTTTAGATTGTTACAAATTCAACTAAATATCAAATTCATCGACCACAGATATCTGACACTAGACATGAATCCAAACGATACTTGCCATTACAATGTTCGTTGCATTAGGTTATATTTGGAATAGGTTTTTAACTTCGAATATGAACATATCATTAAAATAGATTTCAATTAAAAACAAGATACGACAAATATTTTCATTTTCGTCATATGAAGTCGAATTTGTACAGCCTTATCCTTCGATCAGTATTTTTTCTTGAATCTCTTTAGTGTGAATCGAAAGCATGTATGGAATAAACATCCAAGATGTAAAATTTCAATATGTATTGGAATAATTGTCCATCGTTAGGAAAGTTATACATAAAGAAACTGCGCGATATGCTGTTCTATTACTTCTGTGTAACAGCACAAACGTGATAATCACGCTTTTAAATAATCAGGAAAACAGTGTTATTGCAAGATCTAAAGAAAAGATGCTCTTCATTTGATTACAACGCGATACAAAGGCGAACTATGGTTGAGTCAATAAAATCGTTCGTAAAGAATTTTTCTTTTCTATCATGATTTCTGTCAGGTATGTCAAATAGTATCTTGATGTTTTCATTACGTATTTAAATCATTGTATATCACGATTGGCACATGACAATTTTTTTTTTTGGAATTCGGAACCATAACACTGAAAATCCAAAATCGAAATCTCAATAAATAATCATTTATTTATTGAAAAATTTACTTCATAATTGCATATAAGTGTACGAAGGCAGTAGTCTAACTTTCTTCCTCTACACTTCAACAGTCGCGAATAATTGTGTTTCAAAAAAATTTGAGAAATCTTCCAACATGCATGAATGTGTCAATGTTATTTCAACGAATTTCGACATTGTAGACTTGGAACACTATGTCAAATGTGATTCAATTTCACATTTTCATTCTAGATTATCATTTGTTTTAAGGAATATTTACACACATGTTCGGTTAAAATCTCAGCTTCTTATTTTCAGGATGGGGTGTGGGCATGAATGTCGGTTTTCTTTCACTCACATGTGACCCATGCTCTCATTCAGATGATATTGAGATGGTCAAGAATATTTTTGTAAAAGCTAAAGCACAAATTTAGTATGATAAAAAGATGAAAAACTTTTTAATAGACAAAACATTAAATCTTCCACAAAAGCAATGAAAATTGAGTTTTTAGCTAGATATGTGCTACTTTATGAGATATGGTTGAAATGATGATAATGAAGATTATGAATGAAAATAGAAGATTGTTATTATTGATTATTTATCATATCTAAAAAAAATCATGATGTAGATAGTGCAGAAGAAGAACAAAAACTATTGAAGATTTCAATGAATTCGTAAGTTATGAATGAACTATAGGAAAATCTCGTTTTTCCTAGGTTTTTTTAGAACAGTTCATTGAAAACTTGCATACAAGGTTGAACCGAAAAATCTAATAAAAATTAAGAAATACGTCTTTCAATCAACCATGTTTGTTTATTAGTATGTTTTTGTTTCGAAGCAAAGAAGAAAAGAATGAGTTTAAAAAAGTAGCAGTGAGCAAGTAAATATCACATTGCGCAATAAAATGACAAAATATACTAAGAGATATTAAATCTAATAATTATAAAATCGTTTTTATGCACTACTATCTGTTGAATTTTCGAATGTCGGTAGTGGAATATTAGACATTTTGACACGAGCCATTGCTGTCATTATCCAATCCATACCAGTCATTATCTAGTCAAAAGAAATATCGTAATAATAGTAAGTTATCATAAAATATGAATGAACAAGATAACAAACTCGGTTCGTTTGCGCCTTGATTTCAGATTGAGCCTGTTCGTTGCTACGGTTCAATGCATCTACTTGTGTTTGTAATCTATCAATGGTGTTTTTCATTGCATTGACTTGTGCTTGTAGTCTATCAATAGTATAAGATTAATTGGAAAGTGAAAATAAAAAATTACAACATACTTTGAAGACTCAGTTTCGGCTTTTGATCGGTACTTATCTTCGACAAATTTACGTGCATAATCATAGGTGGCAGCATTTTCAAATTCTGTCCACTGAATATTCATCTCAGGCGTCATACAAAGACGTTCTAAATAGAAATCATGTGATAGAATTGTACTTTCTTTATTGTCAAAATAGCATCCTAATATTCCATTGATATCTTGGTCAACCATCATGGATTAATTCGTTTTTTTGCACATCTTGAAAACATGAGAATCGTTTCTGACCTACTCATGTATTTCGTAATTTCAAAATTTTTGTTTTGCATCTTCGAGCACACGAATAGTAGTGTAAAGAAGTCAAAAGATTGATTCTATCGAATCGCTTTATACTCTTGATTATACGCGGATTGTTTAAGCCCCCCCCCCCCCCGCCCCCCTCAAAAAACGATCTCAGCCCAGAAACGTTTAAATGGGCTAAAATTTGGAGCATATGTTGGGACTTAAGTGGGAAGGCTGTGGTAAAATTTTCAGCTCGGTATCCCGACGTTTGACAGAGATATGAACCAAAACAAGGGTCAAAAAAAGCTCATTTTCGTTCCAAGATTTCTCGGTCCGAGCTCTGTCAACATATTTAAATTCTTACTTTTTTTGCGGAGAAAGGGGCTCACAATTTCAATGACTCAAAAAACGCGCCAAAAATGGGTGTCCAGTCACATAAGTGTCTGTCTATATAATAAAAAAAAAAGCTTAATTAAAAAAAGGACTCTATATTGTCCTGCATCTCGATGCGCTCTTTCAAACAAAAAAAAATTTTAATATATTGAACGACACTGGACCGAGAAATCTTGGAACAAAAGTCAAAAAATCATAAACCCACAAAAAACGAAAAACATTTTTTGATTTTTCAAAAAACAGCAGGTTTTTCGAATAGGGGGTGACGAAAATTTTGGACAAAAAGGAGGTATCGAGGAAAACTTTTTGTCAGCTATGAAAGAGTAGACCAAGGGCTATCTTCCCATGCATTCATTTCAATTTCGAAATTTTTGACGAAAATTGACTTTTTTTGAGGGGGGGAGGCCTTAACCAAATAAAATGATGCCTGACGCAAAGGATTGAATAACAAGAAAAGTCTTATTCTAGTTGCCAATATATGAGGATATGGTATCGATGTAAGTGATTTCCGAAGAAAGAACATACAGTTGCATTCAATATATAAAAAGAAATTTCATGTGACTCTCTAATAAAGCAAAAAGCAACTCTTCAGCACTGATTAAAGTTACTTTTTAAAAACAACGATCATGTCAGGTGCATAAAATCTATCAAAGATATGCATAAAACAAATATCAAATCGCTATTCTTCATAGAACACATTCGTTATAAATAAATTTAATCATTGTACTCACTAAACACTCGGAAAGTTGTACCCTGAAATATAACTGCATTGATGATCCATCCAATATAAGCAAGAAGTGAAAGAGGTGGAAAGGTAAATAATGGCTTTTCAAAATATTCACGAATTAATTCATATTTTTGATAACGCCAAATGTATTCATTCTTGTCTTGAACTTCATTGATTGTAAAACTAGATATACAATTGAAATAGTAACAGTGGAATATTTAAATATAAAAACATACTTAAACACGGCAATAAGTAAATTGAGAATCAAAATATTAATGAAGAGCATGTGAAAAGCCAGCAGTACATGAGTAACAGTGGCTTCTGCCACTGCCTCTGATGAAGTTCCATTAGATATGATATCTATATGAAATGTACTAGCAGATATATAACAAAATGAGATTTATTTACCATCAAGATGAGATTTCTCTTGATCAACAATTGAATACAAGAACCAATAAGGTTGATAGAATATAGCTGTAAGGACACTTCTGGCTGTAAATTCTAATTCGTCATACATAGTTAGAGCACGAGAAACTACACCATAGGCAGCGATGCAAACAAAAATTATGTACATGAAACCAGTTAGATAGCGTAACTATAAGAATAACTATGTATATACTCAAAAAGATTTAAATATACCCACTCACCATATTTCGAATCATGAAAAGTTTTGGTCCTAATAGTTTAATAGCGCTAACAAAGCGTAATGAGAAGAGATACCAAAGTTCAAGATCGATGGCCAGAATAATCCTATGAACAATTATATTACAATACGAGCAGAACTAAATAGTTAAATAAATCGTTTACCTTGCATCTGTAAATAGATCTAGTCGATTTTCTGATCGAAAATAAAGTATAATGCCAATATAAAAAAGAATATATGGCATTGCATATATGGGAATCATCCATATGCCTGGTCGATGCCATCTTTCCAACATTCGCGTGTAATAATCAACAGCCAGCTATATTTATAGTAGAAGAATAAGATGATAATAGTTATTTCACTCACTTTGCGAAAATCTTCAATAAGCATTGCTGACACAGTAATAATCAGATAAATTCTTGTCCAATGAACTGAATTTTCTCCCATTTTCATATGAAATAACATCATATAACTAAAGACGAGTAGAAACCATATATAGATCGCCTACAAAAATAGGAACGTATTTTATACTACAAGATGATGAACGTCGATAACTCACGAAATGATAGCACATCTTGACAATAGGAGCTGAATGAAAATAGAACACTTTTTGAAAGTAACTAGGAGATTTGATAGTATTATCTTCGATTCCTTTCCATCTATAATGCATTTATCTAATATGTTAATACATATTCAGTGAAAGAGACAATAAAATACCTGTAAAAATTATGCTTTTCAGTGTTATCACTCTTCGTAAGCTAGAACAACAAACATCAAGTTAGAGTGGCAACATGTAGTTGAATTCAGATGAAGCTTACCGTTTTTTGTGAAGTCTGGTCGATACCATCTTCTTCACGATATTTCCTAAGAGGATGTTTGATTAATCCTAATGACATCAAACTGATCAAAAACTTTAATTTTGCTGTTGATGATTTAGTTGCGTTGCCTGGCAGTTGACCAAACCATTGTCGGTTTAAAACTTGGTTGAAACAATCGGTGTTAATGAATTTTTTGATACGTGATGAAATTGCTACCTTCGATAAAAGTCAATAGAATATACTTACTAGAAAAAGTCATTTTAACTCACTTGCATACAAGTGATATTTCCAAAAAGTGGATTTTCACGTAAAAGAAGCTGACAAGCGAGCCGTTCATTATGTCTATAGCAGGCGTTAATACAATCTGTGGCATATGTTTCATAATCTTTTGCCTGTTCATTGTATGCATGCCGTACATCCAAAGTACCAGCAAATAAAGATAGATGCTGAGCCATGCCAGCTGCAATCAACGCTGCACCCACTCGTGATTCAAGTTGTAACAAAAGAACAAAAGCAATATCAGCATAGCCAACATACACACTCCATAGAAAAAGTTCACGAAACATTTCTTGGCTACTGAATGGTTTATTGCATGTATTAGTTGCGTACGATTCCTTTCTATCGTTTTCTTTCGGCGACTTTCCGTCAATTTCATGCATACCATCACGATAGACAAATGCTTTGATATCTTGCAAAAGTTGACTGCCTGTTTTTTGCTCGAAATAGAATGAATTAACAAATGGTCCAATTAATTGTGTATATTTTGCATCAAGTTCCTTTGATGTCTTTGGAGTACTCCAATGCTAGAAAAACAATATATAAATATGATGAGAGAATATTATAAATAGAAATAAATCTCACATCAATATGTGTCTGAACACTTTGATAGAGGTCATCAGTGACAAATTTGAGAGCGCATTCCACCAGTATTTTCTCTTCGGAGTTCGTTTCATTTTCTGATAATTTTTTTTCTGACTGACTTGTATTAAGATCTGAATCAGATTCATTGCCACTACTTATTGCCTTTTTCAAGCTTTCAGAACGCTTAAGATATTCAGTTGTTTGAACAGGATTATGATTTTGTCTTAGAAAATAATCAACGAATACTGGTCGATTTTCTTTCAATGCTTGTTCAAATAAACTACAGAACAGTTTCGGACTATCCTAAAAGAAAATGCAAAAATTGGTTTGTAAAAAATCAAGAAACATTGAGATTCTTGAACAGAAATCTTGAAATTCTTCTTTTTTATGATTTAACTATTCTAATGTGAAAAGATACGATGTACATACTTCGAAACGTTTAGGCATAGATTCTGCTCTACCAACATAATTCCAGCTGATAGCTAATTTGAGGAAGATTTCCTGTTGTTCTGCATTAGTTTGAGCTAGAAAATAAATTACCTTTTGATACTATATGTGCAGAGGGTATTACAAGTCGTTTTACCAGTATCCACCGCTTTAAAAATAGTATCAGTAAGACTTGGATCACGTTCGAGGTAAAATACACTCAGATGCTCGCGCTGCTCTGGTTCGAACAATTTTCTAATACTATCGATGATGTCCATTGCATCTTTTTCTTTGTCTTTTTTAAGCTTAGACCAATGTTCGTGAAAAGCTGATTCTAGTTGTTCTTTCACATCATTTTCTCTAAATAAAAGATGCTATCGAACACTTAGCGAAAAAATTGCACAACAATTCTTTATACTTAGGTATAGTTCCTTTGTTCGAGGTTTCGAGTAATGTGCCAAGAACATTTGCCAAACGGCCACTACCGTGAATGATGATTACTGGTCGTTTAGCCATTAGATCATGTTTAATCACTTCCAGGGTATTGAAACCACCTTCAACAATGATTGTTATAGCCTGGCATTGAAATTCAGCGCATACATCCTTGACAAAATCAGAACGAGGACGATCATCAATATAACAATCTACACGACCATTGTCTAGTAGAAGAAAATGTGAATGATTTTTGTCAAGTGTTTTTTCTTCGTCATAATTCAATGTTATTGGTGCCGTTTTTCCAGCAAAATGTGCAAAAGCATTATACGCTATGTTATGTGACACCTGAAAGAAAAGATAAATGATATGATTAATGGCAACATTCAAACAATTACAAATTCTGCCTGCCATTTAAGTACGTTTCGCGTATGTTCTGTTACTGTTCCCCAGCTAGTCAATCCGATTAAAGTCGGTTTACACGATTTTTCATTCCGCAATCTGTAATGACGAACACTCTGTCCTATTAGTTTTGACACGCCCTTGTTCAAGCCAGTCGTCAACAACCACACACCTATATGATCAACAAAGATTAAAACAATTTTTTCGAATTCCAAATTAAAATATACCTTTTGTGACTGCCGCTTGTGAAATACCATTCATGAACTCTTTCTCCAATTTATCAGTCATTGTGAAGTGCTCGGCTCCACCAAAACAACTGATAAGCAAAACGGGCTTTTCGCCGACATGATTCTTAACAATTTGGCATAATGTTTTAAACGTATTTTGTTTATCTCCATTGCATCGAATAAACTAATCGCAAGTAAAATGCTATTAGCACAGTCTCAACAAAATTATAATGTGAAACACGGTTTAACAGCTGTTAATAATAGTAAGCGTTTAATAAATCATTTCAAGTCGATACGATATATACATCAATACTCAGTTCAATTCATCAGACAAAATTACAGCAATATTGCTTATCTACATTTCAGTTTGTTCAGAAAAAAAATAGCTTTCTCTTTTACTAACTTGTAAAAATATACAATAGATATTATTTTTCAAGGTATACTATGTACATGTCTGTCATGGCCTACAATGTGTTCTACGAAGGTATCTGTCATGATCTATGGGTGAAGGGAGGAGAGCCGTAGAAAGTGATTCATAATCTTGTCCTATGCTGACACATTTATTTTAGACCGTGTTTCACAATACAAAGTCATAATTTGTACTATAATGAATATATTACGTACTTGGGCTCCATTGCTAAGTTGCCCATACACGGTCAGATTCTGTTTACTAACAAATTTTTGACTAAAGTTGGCATCAGCTTTTTGCATTTTTGCTGAACCATCAAAACTATGGCAACGCGCCAATCGACCACAAGGACAAATTTTTGTCTGATCAGCAGTTTCTCGGTCCTTAGTTGAGTAAGCGTGACATGTGACACTAATCAATTTGTTGGTTTCCACTTCTTTATCAACAAGAGCCTTCCATGCTAACTTATTGTTTTCGATGTCGATACGTGTCGATTTTTGGGTGTCATTTATAGCACTCACACGATTCAAAGACATCTATAAAAGTTGATTATACAAACTTTCAGTTCTGTGAAAAAAATAAATAAATGTCACATCAGTAAAAACTAAAAATGATTCTTTTTTTTTTCTTTCTTTCATTCTCTGACGGAAGTAACAACAACAACCTTGGCAACTCAATTATCGACATTTTTCTTTCACCATTTCGTCAGTACCATTGAGTCGTTTTATTCATTTTTTTTGTTTGGTCCTGAGAGAATACCTCCATTATTCTCTGAACTTTAACTGTACTACCATGGCTCATAGACACAGAACGGCTTGTGATGAGCTAAAAGAACTTACTACTGTAGAAGAAGTGAAAGCAAAGATTCAAGAGCACAAGCTTGTTGTAATTTTATTCAATGAGAGGTAAAAATTATATTTATAATCACAAATAGTTCATTTGAATTCGATAACAATAGATATCCGGACGAAAATACTGTAGAGCATAAATTTAACTGGTGTCGACAAATTTACGAAAATAAGTTTGATGTCCATTGTTACAAATATGTTACCAGTATCGACGAAGACAAATTCAAGAGTGATTTCGATATTAAAGAAATACCGGCATTTATTTTCTTCCGTGATGGCAAAGAAATTGGTCGATTTGAAGATGCCGACCAGCCAGAGCTCAACGCACCAATAGGAGAAAAAGATCCAAAGGAATACCGACTAAAAACATATTTAGATAAGTTGTGTACTAAATAAAACTAGCTTTTACATCTTCTAAACGAAGATTCTAAATGTAAACTCACTTCTAGATCAAAATTGTCTATATTATGCAGATGCTAATAAACTATGAATACCTTATAATTATTTTTCACCTATATTTTATTGCGTCTGATATATTCACGCTTTATGAGTTATTGTACGACATTGTCGCGATCTTCTAAGATGATTGTAAGAAGTTAAGTTCAGAAATTCAACTTGAACTTTTCACGAATAAACAAATATGAGGATGAGAACAAATCAACTGTATTCAATAACTCGTCAGAATTTCACGAAAGATAAATTTTTACCGTAATCCTTACTTTTTGTCCATCCTGTATCTTCTTTAATCTAATTAAACTAATAAAAAGTATGTCAAATGAAAATCTCTCGAATACTATAACATTTTTTCAAGATAATCAATCACTAATTGTAAGGATCTGTCCTATTTATTTTTTTGCTTCTCAGTTTTGTATTTCTTAATTTAACATTTTTGTTATTGTAAGCATTGAAATAAATTGTAAACAAGGTTGTTGTAAATATCTTTTATTTAAATCTGATTACTACAGTCTATGAGAAAGAATGTGGATGAATACAGAATCAACAGACACACTCACATATTTAAAAGAAAAATTAGATGTTGTTAAATTTCTATGTTTTTATCGTAGTTCTAAATCAGAATCAAAATTAACATTTCACGGAATACCATGGAAACATTTTCAATGTTTTCTGCCTGTCCTTTTTACATTGCTTACACTTGACAATACGACGGCTTCAGCAATATTATTTTCTTTTCTTTTATAAATAAAGAATATAGAAAGTTTTTTTTTTGTTTATATATTTTGAATGTGTTATAAAAAGAAAAGATGAAATAAAAAAAACATTATGTTGAATCTTTACTTTGATGTGTGGCATAAAGAAGCCTTAATCTCTTTTTTTCCCATAGTAACTAAATCAATAAGACTAAAGAAAGAGTGAATAATAAAAGCAAGAAATCCAAGGACAAATTGTTATTTCATTTTAGAAAATAAAGTGTGATGAAACGAATGTTTAAGCCCCCCTCATAAAATGTCAGTTTTCGTTGGAATGGTCAAAGCTGAGATAAATACATGGGAAGATAGCCCGTCATCTGCTCTTTCATAAACGATAATTTGTTTTTCTCGTTACTTTATTTTTCCCAAAAAATTTTCAAGATTTCCGTCAACCCCTATTCGAAAAACCAGGTGTTTTTTGAAAAATCAAAAAATGTTTTTCGTTTTTTCTCAGTTTCCGCTTTCTCAAAAGCGCATCCCAAATTTCTCGTTCCTGGTTCGTTCAATGCATTAATATTTTTTTTTGTTTTGTTTAAAAGACCGTCTCAAGGCGCAGGGCATGATGGGGCCATTTTTTTAATTAAGCCTTTGTTTGGTCAATATACAGCCAGTTATATGATTTGATTACCATTTTTTGACCCTTTTTTCAGTAATTGAACTCGTGATCTCTTTTTTGCGCTTAAAAAGGGACTATTTCAAAAAGCCAACCCCATCATGCCCTGCATCTTGAGATGCTCTTTCCAACACAAAAAAAATATTAATATATTGAACGAACCAGGACCGAAAATTTTGGGATGCTAAATAAGTCATTTTTTACCCTTGTTTGGTTCATGTCTCCCTAAAACCTGAAGATTTCGGGCCGAAAATTTTATGGTAATCTCCCCTCTACAGCTCCAACATATCCTGAAAGTTTCATGCAATTTGGATGTTCCTGGGCTGAGATAGATTTTTGAGGGAGGGGGGGGGGGGCCTTAACCCATTTAAGATTTTTCAATGTTTTTTTGCGTAAGTATTATTTTAAAAGAAACCCGCGATCGAGGACTGAAATAGTAGGATATTACTTCTTAATAAAAATTGTATGTTAGCCATGATCAACGTTGTTCAATCGATTTGGTTCATATTTTTACAATACAACGATCAGTTTAAGACTTTTGATGATATTGAATCTACAGTGTTGATAAATAATATCTAGCTGTGCCATAGCATCAGAATGTATAGAACGATAGTCTCAAAAGTCTGTAAAATGACATGGATAGCAAAAAAAAGCTTCTTTCGAATTGTCTATTTAAATATTTTAAATTACAAGAACATCTCGTGAGACCTCTAAATCCAAAATTTCACCTCATTTGAACGTATTCGAACTTTTTTTTTCTTTATAGATCGATAGTTCAGTTTCATCTTTGGACTACACATACTAGATTATAATACTCACAGAAAGAATCTATTATAAGCCTTTGGTTTTAAGAATTTATCGGAAAACATACGAATATCTTTCATATACTCTTATATGACTATCGCATAGGTTTGCAGTTGTCTTATCAAAGTCAATGTCTTTTTTTTCATTTTATCTCGTTTTTAAGTAACTTACTAGATAAAAGTCTGAAGCAACGTAAAGAATAATAGAATATAAATCATCCTGTACCTTTTGATACAAGCAGAACAAAATATAGAAACATAACACTAGAAGAAAACTACAAACTGATGTGACAGTCATATAAGAGTACATGCGAGACATTCGTATGTTTTTCGACAAATCCTTTCAGCTAAATGCTGATAATAGAGTCTTTCTCTGAGTATTATCATCTTGTATAGATGGTGTAAATATGAGATGGAACTAAGGATCTATAAGGAAGAAAAATTTTAAAAAAAAAGCCATGTTTCCTTACTTTTTGTCCACCTTGGACTAGGGGCGTACCGCTCACGCTCATGAGCGGTTTTCGCTCAGGCTTACATGAGTGTGAGCGGTATCAGCGCTCACGCTCAAATGAGCGCTCATGAGCGTGAGCGTTTCTTGTGCATCGAATACGGAATTGCCCCTGATCACTTTTATCAACTTTATTCCTCGAAAAACGACATTTACGGTTTCTGTACCTGGGATCCCCTCAGGTATCATAAAAAAGTTTTTTTTTCTTCATGAGTGAAAACCATATGTGCTGGTAGATTCAGGGGTGCTGATTACGAATATCATAACCGGAGCTCTCAAAACTCTTTCATTGCTGAAATAGTCCTAACCACTCTATGCACCCTTTTTTCATTATTGGTACCCTCATAGAATAACTATTCACTAAAATTTAGCGGAAAACACCTTTTCTAGACCAAAATTTTGAGTTCTCTACGAATTTGAACCTATTATGCCGAAGAACGGTAACCTTTGAAAAGAAATGACCATTCTAGTGCAGAAATTAACCTTATTTTTTAATATANAGTCTTTCATTATATACAGGAACTAATAAACATTCCAGAAGAACTTTAAAGTCTGTTTTTTGAAAACATGACGTTCTAGAGTATACTCAAAAATACTGACAGTTATCAGTTCGAAATTTTTTTCTAGTGCATATCAGCATTATGAGTCTTGAAAAGATCGTAGAGACATACAGCACAAAATTCTCTATGTAACACTATTTAGATAGTAAAGGTTGTATCGTGCGTATAGGTAGTACAAGTGACCGTTCGGAGATAATTATGCATCCTTACGCCGTGACACAGACATCAAAGTCTAGTTACACGAGCAAATGTTTCCTAGAAGTTTGACATGTATTAGACCCTAATCGAATCTTGTTCTGATACAAACTCTATTAGAGTTGAAAATGAGTATCTACTACTATTATTAGTAGATTCATCGCTTGTATAAAATTTAAGAAAATTATTTTCAAATATTTCATTATAAACTTCGTCTTGTTCTTCGATATCGAAACTTTGTAGATTTGTTGAGATAATTTAGATTTATTCTACCTCTGTTAAATTTTCAGGATTATCATTGTCTAATGCATATACAAGTAATGCTTGTTCAATAATTTGAAAATTGATTTTATTTTGTTCATTAATTTGACATAAATGATCATGTATCTGAAACTTATTTAAATACTAATAAAATAATAGTATCATTTTAACTCACGTCTGTCCATTCATCACGTGGTAATGCTGTAAGAGCACCTAATCCAAGTCCAGAACTTTTATCACTTTGTTTAACAATATCTTCAAGTCTTCGAAGAATTTCAGGTGGTGTAAGAAGTTTCTTTGATTCGTATAAATCAAATGTAAATAGATGACCATTACGAATAATTACAATATGAGTTGGTGGAGTTTGAATGTCTTCAGAAACTATTTAATAATAGAATAGATATATGAAAAAAACAAAAATTTAATTTAAAATCAAACAAACCAGTTCGAAATGAACTAACTAATTCGTCACATTCTTTATGTGGAATTCGACATGTATTAAAAAAATGCTTTAATTGATACATTGTCAATGGATATTTACCCATATATGATATTGGATAACGTTCTCTTGAAAAAAAAATTAGTTTATTATTTTTTTTTAAATCTAAATTTATATTAACATACTCGCGTATAGTTTCAAAAACAAGAGCACAAGCATGAATATGTATGGATGCTCGTGTTAGCTGTGAATCGACTTTAGGTGGTATTAAACAATTAAAACCCATCATGTTGATAGCTGGTGCGATTGGTAATCGCCATTTTAAATATATTTCTTCATCCCACCATTTTGTAAGCTACAAGAATATTAAAATTTTTCTCGTTTTTTTGAATATTAATGAAATTTCAACTATTTAAAATAAACGTTTTAATGCATATAGAATATTTTCCGACATGAAAGAATTATTCGATCTATTTTCAGATTCTTTCATATTGTTAGTTGTGAAAATAATTATTCTCGATTCTTATGATCTATTAAAAATTGAACTGTATTTGATTTGTATCTTACCCAGTTTCTTTCCTGATGACTCTCAATATTAGTCTTCAATTGTTCATGTAATTCTCGTCCAGTTCCTTTAGCAAATTGTTCAACAATTTTTTTAGTCTTAATATATTCATCATCGTTGACAACAGCTCGTACTAAATATATAGAATGCATAGTTAGTTTCCAAGAGTTTCTCTTTTTCTATTGAATACCTGAATCAAGATAACGTTCAAGTGTATGTTCTAATGTTGGTAAGGGTAAAGATGGAAGTTTATCATCATATTCAAACGTTTTCTTCATCTTTATTTTTGATAAATAAAAATACACTTGCAACAGGTGTATGTTTATTTGTTAAAATATAGAAAGTAGATTATTTTGTAGATAACGGCAGATATTTGTTTTTTATACTCTGTTATACGTAACACGTGCATTATTTTAATAAAAGAAAAATTCTTATGTCAATGGTGTGAGTGGTTTTGGTCTTTTCCATTGAACCCCACCATACTCCTTTTGCAAACATTCACTTTTCACTAGAAATTTTCCATTTGATTAGGACAAATAGATAGGGACATTTCCGAGTTCTACAAATCTTGGTATCACATATCGCAAAGCTGGCCTGTAGAATATGATCAGGGTCCATAGCTGGCTTGATTTCAACAAAAAAATCTCGTATCAACAGTGAGCTTGAAAGCCATCTGATCCGCCATCCTTTTCTATTAACGGCTTTTTGCAAAAATAAAAGTGTACTCCAAATGCTTTGCAAGGAACAACTTGGTGAATGTTATCTGTCATGTTTCTAATATCAGTATTTTCATTTGGTATATATCACGGCTTCTTCACAAACATTTGAAATTTCATCCTGATCAGACCAAAAATTTCACCACAGATATGTAGAACGTTATCTGAAACCTTGAACTTTTATATAGATTTTACCTTCTCGAGACATCAAAAATGCTAAAACTCAATGTAAAACCAAGTATTTTGCATTTAAATACATTATTAGTTACTAAAGAAAAGTGAGATTAATTAGGTGGTAATCTATGCCAATTATTATTAGTATTTTGGGCATGATCGATAGCACGAATCAGGACATTTAAGGCAATACTCGTATATGCACAACAAACCAATAAATAATTGCTCAAAATTTTAATTTTATAAATGTTATTTTTGTAAATTTCTAATATAGAGTCGTCAAGCAATCAACTTATTTTTCTTTTAATAGAAAAAGAATATATAATAAACATATAATCTAGCGTTCATATGAGCCATTTCGCATAAACCACGATCAATTCTGTTCAATCGATAATCACTGATTTGGCTAGTCTTTATATATATTATCAGGACTTTATTAAACTTAATTAGCTAATTTGTTTTTAAATGATACATACTACTGTAAAGGTTTTATTTATACGAACCAACTTTACAAATACTATTCAAAGTTATCACAAATCGACTGAAATACAAGAATCATTCTTATTTGCGATGTCAAAAACAAAACACTATATAGTGTTTCTCTTTTAATACTTCATCTTCTTGTGTTTTTTGTAACGTTTTTATTGGCCAGATCTTGTACTATCTTGTATATGAGTTTGTTCTGATATGTCACTATAAAAAGAAGTCTAACGGTATTAAGTCTGATGATCATGAAGTTCATAAGATCGCTTTAACTTTTCGTACGATGATTGGTGAACCAGAACAGATAAACCGATCTAATAAGCTTCATCATCATCGGACTTGACACTATTAGACTTCTCTTTTTTGCAGTAGCATATCGAAACAAAGGATGTGAGTTATCTCTTTATCAATACTCACATCTACATTTACACCATCGAATGGTTTTCCTTTTATATATGCTATCATACTCAATCCAAATAAATGTCGATCACAGTATTGACTTTCGGATGCTTCAATCATTAAGTTTTGGTGACAATTAGGAGCAATAAGAAATAATTTTCTTATTTCAATTTTCTACATAATTTACGTTCTGAAGTTATGAAGAAGATAAATAAACATTATTGTCGCGAATGGCGGTAAGCTACTCCTTCAGTTTGTTGTTACATCGTTAAAAATACCGTCAGATTTTGTTCGATAGAAGAAAATTTGTTCTATAAAATGTGCTAATTTTTAGAAGTCTAAAACTTTCTCTTAAGACTCATTTTTCTCGATTAACTATACTATAGTAATTCAATTCTGAAAGAATTCTTCAAAAATTATGAAGATTTCTTCAATTTTTAATGTTCTTTGTTATAAAGTACTTTAGAATCGAAAGTTATGATAAGATTTTTCTACAATTATTAGTTAATAATAATTAATAAATTTTCTAAAATATTGATAAAAACATATAGCTTGTTCAATTCTGATTGTAATAGTATATTTGTGAATCTTTTCTATTCTTCGATAATAACAAGACCAATAAAATAATAAAAGTATCTTAAACTTTTATCTGTTGGACAAAAAAAAAAAAACAACTTCTATGATAAAAATTGTATTGATTGGCCGTTAATTTTTTCGATATCATATATTTATGGATTTTTTTCAAGAGCTATGGAAACATTCATTATAAACAATCTACGATGTAGACAAGCAAAAACAAAGCGCATTAAAATTTTATCCTAACTTTAAAGCTAACTATATATAGAATTTAAATTAAATGCTGTAATTAACTAAATATATAAGAGAGGATTTTTTTATTATATCCAAGTTATTGTGCCTTCGGGGAAAATTCTATTAAGGATTTATCTTCTAATACAACTGATCTTTCATAATACCGGATGGGACTAAAGTTTTGCAACATTTAATGTTTTTCATATATATATCAGTTCAGACAAAAGATAAAATCTTGAATTTAATTTTGGAAGATGTGCTATTCAATTCTCTACAAAAGTGTATTTACCTTAATTTAAAATAATAGAATTGAACGTTTTTATGAGTCAAATAGTGTGTTTATATGAATTGCGTCTCTGTTCCACATGTTTTTTTGCTAAACTTTTCTGACTTTCTGCTGTTATAGACAGGTGCATAAGAAACTAATTATTAGCAATACGATCACATATCAATGCTCTTTCAAAATGAGTTGTCTGCCTTCGATTACAATTTGTTTGGGCCTAATAAAAGTGATCTGTTTGATATACTACTGTAAAAACAGTGTTCTTGGCGATGTTCAGATTCTTATTCTAATTGAATCGTTCTGTCATATATTTTTGGAGCTTACAGTAGAAAAAGAAGTCCTTTGTCTTAACTCGGCTTGGCCATATATCACATTCTTAAGAGGTTTTTGTGAAAAGGAGCAACTGAGAGAGAGAGATTTTTGCGATTTTCAAAATATTATTTCGCGAAAAATTCTCTTTAATGAAAAGAATGAATGTTAAACATATAAGTAATCGAGCAGAGCTTTCAAGAGCTATCTGGCAGTCTATTATTTCTAAAAGCAAAATATTTGTTCTTACAGAAAAAATAATTTATTAAAAAATCGGGCGGGACATAGATGCAATTCATATAAGCACACTATTTGACTCATAAAAACTTTCAGTTCTATTATTTTAAATTAAAATAAATATACTTTTATAGAGAATTGAATAGCACATCTTCCAAAATTAAATTTAAGATTTTATCTATTATCTGAACTTGAGATATATATGAAAAAAAAAAACAAATGTCACACAACTTTAGCCCCAGCCGGTAAATAGAAGAAATTCTGATGACTATTATTTAAAATATAATGAATGTGTTATAATAAATTGCATAGTACCAGTTATATTTAATGACACTGAAAAAAATTTCTTCGTCACTTTGAAAATTCTAAACTCGATCAAGTCTATTGTCATGTAAATACAACGAGAAATATCATAGCAAACAAAAACAAAAAATGTTCTTATTCTTTAGAATGACTTCAATATATTGTTGAAAAAATGATGATGATAATAATGTGCCGATCTTCATGTCGCTTTCCGCCGACTTTTTTTTATTCCTCTTCGTCTTTCATGTGATAATCTACTTACCTGGTTCTCGTCTATATAAGTGTGTTGTATGCCAATTAATTACATTTTGGAGAGACATAGAGTGATTCATGAACAGCATTACTGATGATGGCGGTACGCTAGTTTATCGCTACCAAAGACATTTCATTTTTCTCTCTATCTTTATTACAATTAATCTTTCATACTAATCACTATATTAAAGATAATACTATTGGAGTAACCTATTCTCAGAACAGTCTTCATTACAGAATATACAATCTTGCATAGAAAATCGTTGTGGCAGAAAAAGAATGAATTGTACTTCTCTAAGTTGGTCGTTAAAGTTCGTCTATAGTCTCAGTCCTACTGTTGTCGTTACTTCAATAGCTGCTCTTATTCATACTATCTTTTGGATTCAAGTTATATTATTTTTATCATTAAGACAAAGAAATATTATGTGGCTATATGCATATTTAATAACGGATCTTATTCTTCTTGCTCGATTTTTTATTTTCTATTTTATTCGTCATTGGAATTTATGCTTAGATCCAACGGTTCAATTAATGTTATGTTATGTTGAAGCAACATCAAAATTTTACATTAATATAGTGCAAAGTTATCTTTTGCTAGCGTTAAATGTATGTCGTGGTGCGCAAATTATATTTAATCGAAATGTTTTTATAAAAGATCCTTATTTAATTATTTTAAGTCATTTTTTGATTTATATATTACCAGCACTTAATATCATGATACAGGTTCTTGCTAATTGCACTATATTATTGAATACATCAGGCGAATCTTGCGATATAGTATATAGATCTTTAGCTATAGAGATATTTAATATATTCATCATCTATATTATTCCAGTTGCTTTGAATCTTATTGTCATCACATTTTGTATTCGTCATGTAAGTTCAGTAAAAGATATTCATAGTCAACAAATAATTAACTTTCGTCGTAAACATAAAAAAACTCTTCTAATGCAAACAATAATATTTTATTCAATATGGCTTGTACTCTGGAGTCCAAATGTCCTTGCTTTTCAATTTATTAATGTTAATACTGAAGCTGGCATTTATATTTCTTTCCTTAATTATATAGAAATTGGAACTGATCCGCTTTTTGTCGCTGTACTTGACATTCGACTTTTTCAATCATGGAAAATAACATGGCGTAAAATAAAAGGATGTCGACGAAGAGCTATTACTCCAGTGTTTCCAGCTACTGTTGAACAAATCCATTGAGTGTTGTGTTTATAATATGTTATCATTATTCTAAGGTTTTTTAAATAAATATATCAGTTTTTTTTTCTTCTATACGTATAATACTTATCTATTAATTCCTTATAGACTAGAATAAGTTCATTACTGATATGAATGAAATGTAAGTTATTGACAGGTGACAGAACTACTTAATATATAGTAGTATGAATAAGTTGTTGTCTCTGCTACAGACATGCAATTAACCATTGAAAACTGATTTAATTTTACATAAAAAATTAGACGAGACTATATGAATTTACACCAAAATAATCGAAAATATGAAATTTATCTATGATGTTTGTTTTTTTTTTTGTGAAAGATCTCAGTAGTCGTTGCAAAGCTTTGTCATTTTTTTTTCTATTGAATCACTGCATCATTAGTCTAGCGTGTAAGACAAAGAAATTAACTCCATACCTAACTAAAAAATCTTCTGTTTTATCCTAAGAACTTCAATAAAATCTTGCTAGATATTGGTAGAGTAATTCTTACTAGATTTCGAAATTTTCCAAGACGGTATGAGTAAAGCGTGTTGATGTACGTAACGGTTAGTGGGAAATAATACGTTCACATATACACCCACTTTATAAAACCATCTGGTCATAGGCTGCACTCAGCAGCGTAACCAGGATTTTTATACCAATGGACAAACTTCTCTTGTGTTGGAAAAAACGATGGGCAAAATAGGCAAGGTTTTTATTAATAGACCAAAACTTTTTTGGCACAACAAAGTACTGATAGCATAACAGGACAAAAAAATGAAATGACGTTCTTTTAATCAAATATGCATCAAACTCAGAGCTTAAGTCTGGATCAAATGTGTTTTAATCTGTTTTTAATATCTCTGTTTATGGCATTTATATTTCAAAATTAAGCACCAAAATTCTTACGAACGAGGTCATTTCACGTCTTGATTTTGTCCTTTGCTTTCACATATAGGTTACTGGATTTTTCCTTTCTCTTGCGTGCATCACTCTCTCTCTATATATATCTACACATAAATGTTCCTGTTTGTTCTCTTCCTGTTTTCTTGTTTCTCTTTGCTTTGATATATCCTTCTCTCCCTTTACATGGGTAGTGTTTTTCTCAATAAAACTGAACTCACGTTTACCCAAACTTACAGCTAAAAGACAAGAAGCTATTCTTTTCTTCATTCTTCACAGAGAGAACAAACAAAAAGTGCATATGTGATTCAAATACTACTTAATTCAAAAATAAATAAACAATTCTGAAAAAGTAAAATTTCAATAGACAAATCTCCAAATAAAATGGGCAATTGCCCATTTACCTTCCCATTGGTTACGCTGCTGGCTGCACTGTCTAATTCCAACTAGAGTATTGTCCATATACCAAGAGACACTCAATAACTTGGTCACCAACATGCTCATTCTATCTATATAAATCGATTACTAGAAAGCTTGCAATAAGTTGTGGTACACGGTCTTAATAGTGAAACTATACTGATTGAATATGGCAAAGGAGCTGTTGAAAATGATATGATCTTGATTGTTCATGCGAAAAGCTTTTGCGTTCTACGGTGAAGCTACTAATAACGAGTTTTCTATTTCGATTGGGCTATATCAAGAAAAAAGTATAAGCCTATATTTATTTATAGTATTTCATTTTGATCTTGTACCATATACAAGAGCTTTTCCGGCTCATAGATTTGCCAAAGACTTAACTGTCTTACTCAGAGAACCAATAGAAAAAAAATTCAATTTAATGTTACAATTTTTGAGACACGACGGTATTAACGTGTGTAGTAAACTTCTTGAATATGTTAGAAAGTGGAAACAGGTGATCAATAATTCCAAAATCAATCAACCAAATTTTTTCCATAAAATTTAGTCTTCGCTTCCTTAAAGTATCAATAAACAATGTCTCATTTGGGTGTTGACGACATTAAATACCTGAAATACATTTGAACTAGTAATTTACCCCTGTAAAATTTGTATGAAATTGTTTAGAGAAAACTTAAGAGTCATGCACGAAATTGAAATGATTAAAACGCAACAGAGTGTAGGAATGTTTAAAAAAGTCTACAAATCAAATCCTTCAAACTCATGCTTTTTCAATGATCGTAACAACTTATGAAATAATCAATCATCTTTGATATTTCTGCTTTTTTCTAAAAATCTTTCTTATTCATTTTTCCTCCCTCTTCTATAGTTTTAAAATGAACACTGAATTCTTACACGTTATTTATCTATATTTTAAAAATCCTGTTGTCATGATTATGTGATTAGCTTTATGTTACTGTATTTTCCCTTTTTTCATATTGATCTCTATTTTCATCTTTATTCTCTTTTCTTTTCTGTATCCCACACCTCATCTGTAAGCGCTTCAAAACGTCACAAATTGATTACATGCATAATCGACTAGTAACACTCATCGAGAGTCAATCTACTTGAACCTAGACTGACGAAATAGACATAATTGCAGGTACATAAACCACACTTGCTCAATACTCATTTTGACCATAGTTATATACGATAAGTGTGGTAGAAATGATCATTGGTAACTATATTAAAGATAGGCATAGGTAAATTTCCATCTTTAGATTCGATACTTTCAGTTTAGAGGACAAAACTGAGTTGAACATATATCGCTACTGGATTTGATGATCAATGTTCACAGATATTGTTTGTTGCATTAGTTATTTTCTCGTTGAGAAAATCTGCTTTTAAATTTCAGAAACATTTGACACAAGAGAGAAAAGTGCTTTTGAGCAAAAGAAAAAGACAAAAAAACTGATTGATAACAAATACATTATTATTGCATAATTGAGTTATAGACGAGCGATGTTCTGTAAACGTTTGAAATGTTTTTTTCCTGTTCTAATCTTGCAAAATTCTTTACTCTTATGTCTTCCTGTTTTGTTTTTTGTTTCGTTAATCAAATATGATTATGACCAGAGATGTAAGCCGAACGGTTGAATTCGCTGCCGTCATAACAAAAACTGTAGTGCTCGGTTTTCGAAAATTTTCGACACTCAAGATAAGTTTTCGGAGTGGGTTTTGGATAATATTTTCGTCTAATTCAACGCAATTTATATTCACATTCACACTTTTGATCAATACATTACTATACAGATGAAAAATTTCACTGGAAGTGGAAGAGAAAATCGATTCTAATTATTTGCTTGGTTAATGTAGAGTCAATGTCGATAAACCGAACGCTTTTCAGTGGTGTCTATGTTCCGTTACCTAAATCTCAGTTATTTCAAGGAATTAAATTTTTGTATCTATTCATATAAATAAAAAGAGTTATAGTTCCTCTAATAATTGAGTACTTAGGGTGTGGTTGCAAATTAGACTTGTACCCACACCCTTCATATATTTATCTCAAACAGTCATCTAACACTTGTTACGGTAAATTCTCGTGCTTAAAACTTAACATTGAAATATCTTTAAAATGATGATCACTTGTAGAAAAAAAAATTCTAATGTCAATTTTTTTTCTAAAATGTCCATGATGGCCGTGTTTTGTGTTATTTTCATAGCCCTCCTGTTAAAAGCAGTATTCTCATAACTTTATTCGCTGTACTTTCGCTTTCACGATTGAAATTTATAAAATTGACATCAAAGTCAGTGAAGAAATGAATTTCGAGTGATACTCACTAGAATTTAATGCGATTCCAATATAAATTCAGATGGCGACTTGAGACAAACACAAATGAAACTATGTTGTTAAATTCATATCCTCAAAATATTTTATCGCAACTGATGAATGTATGACGTATACTCAAAGATGAACAGATAAAAAGTTTATTTTAATTGTGTTCAGCCAATTCATTCAAGAACTATTGATACAAGTGCTTAATCTAATCGAAGTAAAATCCGTCTAGAGCTATGCGAATGAGGAAGATACTTTTGAAATATTAACTAAATAATTTCATAAAATAGATTATTAAATTCCGTTATGTGATAAGCCAGATTTTTATATTATTCCGATTAAAGCATTGATTGAACAATCGAAGCACCTTGAATATTTAGGTAGAGAATTTATGTGGTTTCAGTTAATTATCGAAAATTTACTATGCATAACTGCTGAAACATTGGAATTAGGTTTTCGAAAAATTAATTACCATGTGTAGAAAACACTATGACAATAATGAGAGTAATCTATTAACCATAAAAGAATTAGAAGAAATATACAAAGATTTAAAGTTAGATTTTCAATTGGTCTCTGTTCATTCAAAGTTTATTCTAATAAAAATGAAAAAAAATCATTGCATTGATATTATTCACATCACATTTTCACTAGACTCAATTTCCTTGAGCAAACTCTGATAATTTGTATCAAAATCTTTTTTTGTAAAATCAATATAGAGCAATTCGGCTGAAATGAGGCCAAGCCATCCATCAGGATCGTATTTTTCTTGAAGTCTTAATGGAATAAGTCGTTTACGTTTCTTACATGCATATGTTAATTCTTTACGACAATTATCCGATTGTCTGTATTTTTCAGTCATTCCGAACAGAACAGTCTGCGACTGTTCAACTGCTTTAGCCATTGCCGTATAGATACATCCGTGCATATTCTGAACGTCAAACCATACTATGTATCCATCTGATCGTAGGTGATCATATATTTTCTTGCATATAGCCTGATTATCCCAGTTATAGCTGATCATCAGGCATTGTTTCGAAGCAGATGTATGATGCTGATCGAACTGGGCCATACGATGTTGGTTCTGTTGCGGACGGCGATACAGACAAGCGCAACAAATATTCGTATGTGCTGCTTCTACATATTGTTGGATTGGCGGTGCGTATGGTGATGGTGGTTCTGATGATGACGGTGGCAATGATCGTCGTGGTAGTCTTGATGGTGGAGGTGGTGGTAGTGGTAGTCTTGATGATGGAGATGATGGTAGTGGTAATCTTGATGATGACCGCGGTGGTGGTGGTGGTGGTGGAGATGGGGAAAAGGAAGAATGTCGATAACGATTTGTCGGTATATGCATCGCTGTAGTATCTGTTTCCGGTGTGCTTATTGACTCTTGAATACCTTTATACACATCATTAACCGTTTGTTCTACTGTTTCTGACATCTTGTGTTTAGATGGTTGATCATGAAATGGTACTTTGGCAATGAGATCACATGTTTCACCTAGGTCGTATATGAAAGAATGTAAAAAAACAAAAAACAACCGTCGAAATTTCGAAATGTAACCTGTTTTTCAATCTAATTTTCAATTGAAATTGAATCACATGTTTAACAAGTTTTCAGAAATATTTCTTTTGAAACTAGGGATCTCGTTCAAATGTAAGCTAGTCATTTTCTCACAAGAATCATTAATGAAGAACAAAGGAAACCTAAATCAATATTCCAATAGCAATCGATCAATACTAAATTGATACTTTTCTAATTGAAATGAAAAAACAATTCATAAATATTTTATAATTTTGTCAAAAAAACTGAAAAATCGAAGAAATACAGAATCAGACGCAAAATTTTTAACTTTTAAATTCCATTTGACATCAATTAGGAAATGTTAGATCACCAGGTTTCGTTAGTTTTTCTTTCAAACATAGGCTTTTTTATATTGTTATATGATTTTGGTATTTTACATATTATACTGAAAATTGACAAAAATACATCCAGTAAGACCTTCCGAGAAAATTCGAAAAAAAAGATTTTTTTTAATTGAAATAATACAAATTGATCGAATACTTTAGTCAAAATCATGACTTCCTGCAAATAGAATCGACAGAGAAAAAAAAAAGGTGAGTCGGTGCAAGAAAAAACTGAACATATATTGAAGTGGCCCAATTTGACATTTGTTCTTCAACAAACTCACTCTGAAGGTGCAATTGAGAAAAAAAGCAGGATTCAGTACGATTCGTATCATTGCTAATTTTCATCGTAAGTGTAAAACAAGAAGACTTGATTAAATTGAAAATTAACCAACTCAAACGCTTCACTACAACGGCTAAAAATTTGAGACGGAAACACAATAACACCTAACCATCAATCGATATGTAGAACCCATTGAGGTAGCCAAATACAAATTGAAATGCTACATTTTAATCACGAATTGATTCAAAAGTACACACGCATTTCACTTGAGCACAGTAAAAACTCCCGATTATGGGCATTATCGTATAGCATTACTGTAAATTTGAAAAGTTTTCGAGTTTTACACTTACTGACTACTTGAAACTATCGTACAAAGATGTTTGAGAGTGAATGTAAGATACAATGTACAAATTTACTGTCTTCTCTCCGGATAAAAAAAAAAGAAAGTAAATTAGTTGAAGACGACTCTATGCAAAGTACGACTACTCTATTTTCGAAAACACAATCTGATGCTTGTCGGATTTGTATCAATAAGAAAAATTACAATATAACTAAAAACTAATATGATCACTATGAATCAACTTCTTTCCCAGTTAGTTTTGCCAAGTTTTTTTTCTCGCCAAAAAAAATCCGGCCTAATCATTCCTTTCCAAGTTTCATGTAAAAGAGCAAATGAATTGTAGTAAAAGATGATTTTAATATACTAGAAAAATAGATGCCTGAGAAAACGTTTTTTGACTTCTAAAATTGGGTACCGTTTTATGAACCTTTTAAAATTCAATAGAAACGTGGTTCAGTCGTGCACCATTTTCTTTTATGGAATAACAAGGTTCTAGCCGTAGAGGTTTCGTGAACAGGAATTAGGCAAACATCTTCACATTCACACTCTAAAAAGTACTGCGCCGCAGAATGTGTCACCAATTGCAACGTTGTGAGTGTGGATATGTCTCTTCACCGATGACTACAACTGCTTTTATCCGCCTTATATTTCACTACTTATTCTATCCCCTTCTTCTGTTGCCCATTCCCCGATGCCCATTGGGCAATCTTTCTTCCTCTATTTTCTTGTACTGTTCCTCTTTTCCTTATTTCTTATACCATTTTCCTTGCCTATTTGTTTATGCTATGCCCTTGCATTGTTCGTCTTTTTCTATCTCTCTTCTCCTTTTCTCAATCTATCTTACATTACGCTACCACTTCACCCTATTCCACTTTCCATATCCCTCGGAAGATATCTGACCTGTTCCGAAAGCCTTCTCCATTCTTCCTCAAACTATCTACTTAAAAATCCGTTCTCCTTTTGCTATTTTACAGTCTCTCTTATGGTAACTTCTTATAACTACAGCAGTGTGCAAAATTATAGTGTTACTGTTCCTCATTCAGTTATCACATCACTATTGTGCAAAGAAAATATCTAAGTAAATATATACATTTGAGTATGCTCTATCCGAATAAAATATTAAATTTGCTCTATATGACTTGCAAATTGGGAAAACCAAATGACTATTGAAAATCGTCTTTTTTTGGCTCTACAGAAAATTATAAGATGAATATCGTGTTCTCGTCATTTTTTCATGAAGGCAGCGTTGGTTTGGCTTGAAAGTTAGACAGATAGTACAGCATTTTCTGAAAATGTCCATGAATAAATTCTGAAGATTAGCCAAAACGTGGATCTCTAATTAGCTGTTACGGATCAAGCCCAATATTATATCTATCACCACAGGATGATAGATGGAACTGATGTTCTCGGCAACGAATTTAAATAGAGGACATTTTTGCTATAGCATGAGATACTTGCTAGTTGGGCAAGGATGCGGGTGGTTCTAGGTGTGAATGTAAAAAGAAAATCCACACCCATCCACATCCCACATATAAGCCTGAACTATTAAAGGACTAAGTATGTGTACGATTTATTTGAACTTGAACAGAGTGAAATGAATTTTACAGTCCAATAATGTTTTACAACGAGTATACTGTTCAACTTTTGTTCTACGTAGTCCTGTTCGAACACATAGAAACTATTTTCTGGTCGTCGAACAAGACCATAAGTCTTTACTAGCTGCATATTTGGATCTGAAAACAGTTTTAAATTCTTTTTTTGGTCGGATTAGAAGACGCAAGTATTCGAATACGCTTTCAAACTTTTGACAAAGAGAGTAGAGGGACATATTTTCATATGGAAATAGGTTTACTAAATATGTCACAAGCATGTATTATTTTCTTAAAAGGAAATAAGGCGATTTTTCATAATATCAAACCAGTTTCACAGAAAATCAATTAGCCCTCGTGATATATTTTTTTCATGCGATTGCTTTCTTACTTTTAGTTTGTGAATGGACCTTGTAATTGTCAATGATCGCATTGAGTTGTTGTTGATATACTTGAATTTGACTATGTGAATTTTTATCAAGAGATTTTTCATTCTTCTTGATAATTTTAGTTAAAAGATCAGCTAATGGATCAAATGTTTTATTCAATACAGAAAACCATGGACTCCAAAATGATGAATCAGCTTGAAAATCAGAATTGGGATTTGTTCTTAATATATTGTCAATCTCTTCTAGTATTTGTGATAATGCCTCGAATTCTTGTTTGTAGGAATCTTGAGTTTTTGACAGAAATCGTTTGAAGATCGCGATACTATCGCATGTAGTCAAAGCAGTCTCCATCAAATTCAACGAATTTGTCGTTGCCATTACTGGTTCACTATTGCAGAATAAGGACGTCTATCAATGAAAAAACACAACAAATGCAACTGAAGGTATCATTAAAAAAAAGTAATGTAATGTTTGGTTGCTTCTACTAGCAACTGGTGCACAGATAAAAATATTTTTTTCTTTCTTTCTTCCATAGTGCTTTTGTCGTCGTCGTCGTCTTTTTTACGAGCGTATGTGGAGCACTGCATTTTTTTTTCTCAAACTTATTTTGTCAAAATCACATGTTCTTCTGTATTTACTTGAATATGCATTCTATCGCTTGAGTTTGGACACATATAGTTCACATACTATTAGAATACAGACTTATGTTCGAATGTTGAGATTCTTCCTACTCAAAATGTCTCATGACGTACAAATTCTGCAATATTTGTGTAGGACATTGAATTGAGAACACGATCATCAAATCTACATTTACAAGGCTCTCAATCGATTGTCTCCTATTCTACGAGTTACATCCAACTCAGATCTTATCTCGAACTCATTCTGAGATTCTTGATTATGGAAAGAAAGGATTAGAGATAAGGCAGAGATCTTACACCGAACGCTTTTAAATGCAAATATCTTAACAATAATTTTTAAAAAATGTGTTTAGGAACGTTCAAACGCCTCTGAAACGTCAAATCAATGCAATTGATTGAAGATTCGATGAAAATGCAAGTTCGAAAGAATTTCTACATACAGGTTAATAGTATAACTGTCGTAACATTTTCGTGGAAAGCGTGAATTTAGAATACAACCATATACTTTTTACGGATTCTGTTGAGTTTTTTTTTTACAAGTACTTCTTATTGTTTCTCAAATTTTCTGGAAGTTTTAGCCTTCTAGCCCAATTCTGTATGGAGATATGAAGGTCTTCAGATCAACGAACTCATAATCTAGTGCCCTAGGTAAATACAAAGATACCGTAATATTGCTTCCGAAAATTTTTCACTTTTAGTACGATATTATTTGATAGCAAACAAAAGTGGATTTCTATTCGCTGATCCGACTTTTGATTTATGATTTGTTCTTGTCACATTTCTTCAAGGCCCTTTATGCTTACAGACACTTTTGGTTTTTCTATCCAGTGGTATAAGAATTCCATTTTCTCATAGTACCCTTTACTTTAATTTCCATAAGTTTACTCAATAAATAGAGCAGTGGATGTTGCAGCTTTCGCTAAAAAAATAAATGTCTTATTTTTGGAATATTTCGGTCAAATCTAAATGAAATATCAACTTACAATATATCATTCGAATTCTGGCAGGATGCCGCATCTGATGGTGTGAGTGTAAATATTCGTCATCTCTTCATCCATAGTCGCACCTTACATCCTTAAAGTTAGATTTCTCCTGCAATAAGGTGCAAGAATCGACAAAATGAAAACAATTCCCTCCAATATTCGAGAATTGTTCTTTAACCATCGTTTACTGATTCTCATTTTACTACTGCACTCAATTCTGCATTAACGAAGAGTGATGGTCATCTCAGTTGTGTATAGAAGAATCGTCAAGTGTTCATATTTGAGTTAGTCATCGAAATCGAGCGAAAAAACAGTGATGTGACTTTTAATCAACACCTTATATGACAAAAATTCAAATCAAATGTGTGAAATATCAATTAAAATGTTTTTATCTATCTCGTTCATGTTCGCAACCACATCCATACAACTGGTTTCAGAGTTATTTACCGATAAAAATCAGAATGGTAAATGAATGGAAATCATTGACATCTATTTCGATAAATGCCAATGTTTTTCATTATAGAAAAATGAATTGCGGGGACCTATCGATTATTTTGTTCTACTTCAACATCATTAGCATCAAATGATGCAAAGTTTTCTTGAGAGCTGCGATATGGCTTGATCACCATCACCAAATAAAAGCTTTGTTTCGAACAATAAATAAGATATGACTTTCATGATCTATAATCGCTTTGAATAATGTGAAAAAAGAGATTGTTTTGTGTATTGCTCTTGACTTAATAATAGGAGGCTTTCATCAGCCGAAACAAGAAGTCTATCCAAATCGCTTGTGGCCGATCGGAACCATCCGGTTTCTTTTGTGTTTCGACTATTTTCTTGCCACCGAATTCTATTTAACGATTCGCAAACCAGTCCCATTGCATCTAGATTAGCTTCAGCCAGAAACGGTAAGGAAATTTTTGCTCAACTTCCGACTCGAATCCGATTGCAAAGAAATCTATGAAAACTATTTTGGAATCTACCCAGTTTTGAGCGGATTCAGTCACAAAAAAAGTCGACTTGGATATGGGCATCTTTTCGTAAATAAATTCAACGTTTTAGAGTTCAACATACTACAGAGGCAAAAAACAGTTTATTAATAATAAATCTGGAAGGAGAATGTCTCACGATGATCAATCGAATTGTTGTTGTTCAATGTGAAAACATTCACTACTCTAGTCAAGCATGTGACTCTTATCCGACTGGCAAAAAGAGATTTTTCGTCGAATGAAAAGATCGATATGAGAGAAGATCATTGTCAGCTGCTATGATATTTATTGTTTGATAACTTATCACAGCTAATTCTTTCTGATGAAAGAAATTTAATTACATTCTGTCAAGCTTCTGACTTGTGTCTCTACTAGTTCTTTGGGCTTGATTAATCTCGTATGTTGCTGATATTGTTTAACTGAAATTGGAAACTCTATTATGACTGTATTTATTCGCTTGATGATATTATCTCATTCCTATGAGTTTTTCAGTCAATTCAACCTTGTTAGAGAATTTCAATATTGCTCGAAAAAAATTGTTTCATTTTTAAAAACCTAACTGAACTTGTGATTAAATAGATTTACTAATAGCAACCGAGTTATAGTCACATCGGATTCTTAAAAAAATCTATCACATAGATGTCCGTGAGGAAATTTACATAGGTCAAAGTTGTTAATTTGAAATGAATATTTTCGCCATGGAACACATGCTTGTAAATAGTCCGATGAAGAAAACTGGAGAGTTTATTTAGACACTAGAGTCATATTTTTGATCGTCTTTGTCACATTTTCGATAATGAACCCATAGCACTAAATAATATCATGAAAACCTCATTCATGTGAAGATCTTCGTGTAGTGCATGAATAGGCTATGATATACTAACATTCAATTGTTTCTATATTAGAAAACATCCAGCTAGAGTTAATTAACTTCATGCGTTTATTGAATTAAAATTTTATTCAAAGTTTCGATCAACGACAGCTTCCAATGTAAAGAAACCTACGCTTTGTGAAGATATTTCCAACTATTTTCTCACGAAATATCAAGTGCATCTGTATATTGATTGCCATAGTGTATGAATCCATAAAATAGGACATGTCGCAGAACTATGCTCTTTTTATCTGGAGCCTTAAAACTGAAAACATATGATTAGATCGTGAAATCCCTTTAATTGAGATAATAATTGGTGCTTAACCAAGAAAATAAAGATTCTAATGTCCAAGAATAATCGAACAGAAGATCTATTTAGTGGGTTTTTAAAATATTCACTTTTTAAACTAAATATCTCAAACGAAAAACTAATCGAATCATGCTCAATAGCAAAAACTCAGGGTGCTGGATTTTATTCATAGAAAAAGAGTTTCCTTTTGCATGATTTTGATTTTCCTGGAAATAAGTTATCTTTTTTCGTATGATATTCTACATTTTTGAATCTTCAGAAATTATGAAAAGCTCAGGGTGCAAGGTACACAATGACTTTTGTGTTTTCAATACCAAAAAAAAATTAAAATGACCATGTGCTCAGAATTGTGCAATGTGCACTGTTTGATGAGCGTAGACTTATCGAATAAGATATGTAAGTACGTGCTGAATTGCAGATCATAGCTTTATCGTGTTCACATGAAGAACGCACAATCTTAATATGGTTTACTGCGATCATCTCACGATACAATTTCGATCTTGATGAGTGATAAAAGTTGCCTGAAAATATTTTGACTCGATTTAAAATTTTTTTTTTTTAAGTCGACGTATCACATGGTAGTCATCCTCAAAAGTAAGACTTCTTTGGGAGAGTGCACCCAATTGAAAATACAAAACAGCTTTTTAACAAGTCTTAACGACTGATATCGGATAAAAATCTGTTAATTTTCGTAAACTCGTCAATAGTTGTCAAAATTTTTTGCATTTAGTCAAGGATGTAACTCCTGTTAATTATTGTAGCTGCTCGCAGAAATCTCTTTTATGAAATAATCATCGAATATGAGCTGTTTACAATATCCTATTTGAGAAAACTATTTTTTCTGACTCGAAATGTTCCATTCTATCTTTTCATGATTAAAATATGAGAGAAATCTTCTGTTAAATTAGTAAAATAATTCGCAAATCTTCTTTTGTTTTTTCGTTATTTCGAATTTTTTTAAAAATCTGATCAAAACCATTTGAAAATGATCCCTGTTAGATGACGATGATTCACACCTGTTACAATCACGTGAGGCTCCTGTTCTACATTATGCATATGTTGTTGCATTATAGTGAGTAAATATTGCGAAGTTTTGCATTCAATTAACACTACATCAGATAGGAATCAACACGGGATTTTTTTTATTTACTAATGAAAGATTATATCCATGCGAAATAAATGTTTATGCCGAAGACAAGGAGAAATTCGGTTCAACTATTACCTAAGCCAGTTTATACTACTATTGTATTGATATGTTAGCATTCGAATGTAGCAACTAATGATCGGATATTACGGATGAAATTTTGTTTTCTTAAAATATTTTTCTGAGAATATGGTGAATTAGTAATACATAGTTGTGTTCTACTCATATTCATTGGGATAGGATAAAAGACATCATTAACGATGATTTGACCGTTTTATATTTCAAAACAGACGCGTTTAGATTTATTCTTCGCACAGTTTCTAAACAATCGTTTCACGTAATCTTCATTGAATCAACAGCAAGTCAGTCAGATATTCTTATTACTTGCACCATCTAGTCTTCTTCCATATGATTGATCTAAGCATTTTCACTGTTATCTTGAACTTTAGCAGCTCAACAAGAAGTATGCTTTATCAATGATGGCAGACGGTGTAGACACTCCCTCTTATCTATTTTTTTTTGTTTCTTTTCTTTGTTTGAGTTGTGCTTTTCATTTTCTTTATCTTCATAGATACTTTTGGTTGCTTGTCAGTCTCCAACACACGCTGCTGTCCTTTCCACGACAGCTTCTTTCTCTTTCGCCCACCATGCTCTTGTTTATGCGAGCATCTTGTTCACCACGTCATTCCCCATGTTAAAAAAATCCTGGAAAAATCAGATTTTAATCGATTTGTTTTTGGTTAAAAATCAATTAAAATCTGGTTTTTCCCGGGATATTTTTACATCAATACGTTCGAATCGGTTCTTACTTCATATCTGATTTTAACCGATTCTTACCTTGTATCTGATTACAATCGATTGTTACCTTCTATCTAGTGTTAATTGATTTGTATCGGATAATCGATTTAAATCGATTTTTAATTTTTAATCATCAATATCGAAAATAAGGTCTTTTCTCGAGATTCAAACATGATACCCTATTTTTTAATGATTTTTTTCGAGTACTCATCTCGAAATTATCATTAGGCTTCAGCTATACAAATATAGTAAATTTGGAAATGATATTTAAATTGTTTCGATTGAGATTGCACAATTACATCTTCTGATCAATTAAAATCAATTACGAAAGATAATCGATCGAATTGATTCGATTTTTAATTGATTATTCAGATTTTCTGCGATAAAATCGATTTTAATCAAGTTTTTCGCGTTCTTTTTTTACATGGGCCGTTTTCCGCTCGTCTCCATCTACTACATGAAGATGTTGTTTCGATGTTGATCTTGAAGTAGGAAGCTCAACTGGATTGAAACTCTATTTATGGTCGGTGATAAAATTGACACCTACAATTAGCGTTCAAGTTCTTAGTTTTGTTTGTTTCAGACAGATTCACTTTTAGTTATCCTACTCTCTGGATTTCTATTGTGTAACTTCTTCTTAGACAGCTCGAAACGTTACTTGTATATGCTCTTCAAAATGACACCAACTTTTAATGGTCATGTTAGAAATCTGTGTGGCACAAAGTATTGAAACATGGACTCTATCATTTGTGTAATTGAAAGAGAATCCTCACATGTCGATGTTAGGAGTTCAAGAAAGTATTTCAACGAGAATAGTCTAGTGACAATCTCGAGCAATTCCCTTGACTGACTAATACTGAGAAAAAAAAAGGAAAATAACTATAAAGCTAGTACATAAAATGGGACTTTTTGAATAAGTTACTTTGAAACGTGTGAAAACAGTATCAAAGAGCCTAAAAGCAGATGTAAAACAGTGGCAAAAGTGACATATTTTTAATGGGCTTAATCAAAATTCATCTTATCGGGCAATTATTTTTTTTGTGTTTAAACGGATTAAAAACAACACCTTTAACGGCATTTTCTCGTTTTTTGACTGCTGTGCAGGCTTCAAGACTTTTTTCCCCATTGTCGTGTATTATTGGCTACATCCGAATAGTTCGGAGGCTTTGTAGACACTCATATAACTTCAATGGAATCAACTACAGTTACTTCATTCGTACCACTGCATGTGGCTGTCATCGGATGTGGTATCGGCGGTTTAGCAGCTGCTATTGCTCTACGACATCAAGGCCACTATGTGACTGTCTATGAACGTGCTCATTTTGCTAGTGAAGTCGGTGCTTCAATCACTGTGGCTGCTAATGCGACCAAATATCTTGAACAGTGGGGTGTCGATGCTGTTGCTGCCAGGTGAGTAATATGAATTGTGTGACGCTTGATATAACTGATCAGTTCGAAACTTCTAAAGTGCTCAGAAATCTATCAGGACAAACTTTGTAGTTTTCATCTTACTGACATAGACTTGATGATTGCATCATTTCTAATTGATTCATTTATGGAAGTCTACGACGTTGATCAATGCACTTCTTTCAACTCTATGTCGTATAGAGAGAAGATTAAACACCCTAATGATACGCCACACAGAAAGAATCTATACTGAAATATTTTTCGTATGAGCACAGTAGTGAAAAACCTTTCACCTTGTTATATTTAGTTTTCTACAATGATGAACTATAATCTGACTTTTCCACTGACTAATATTAGGATCTCTAAGGTATCATTTAGCCCTTTTTATCAAGTCTAATGGTAGTTTGTAGAAAATTCATGTTCTTCAAGGTTTTTTCCGAACACTGAATATACCAATTCATTATCATGGTTGAAAGTCGAATCAAAGCTCAGCGTATAGAAAATAATCAAGTGCCAGATCAGGATTTGATCATGTATACATTGTTTTTTGTTAGCTCTATTCGTATTAAGCAGACTCAAAGAAAAAGTTTACCACGTATTTTGATGACTTGAGATTTGTATGTTCTTCTTTCACGATAGTTTCGAAATCGATCTCCAGCCATAATCATTCCTGAGAACAAATATACAATACGAAGCATTTGCACTATGAATTGAATTGACGTAGCACTGCCCGATTATTTTAGAAGTTGAGATAGTATTTCTATCAATAACATCAGTGAAAAACGAAAAGCATAATCACAATCTGAACAGAATGGGCAGTGCTAATATGTTTCGATATATACAAACTCCAAATTATGATGAAATTTGTCGAGAACTGCTTGTAGAATACTTACTAATATAAAAAGTACGAACAATAGACAAATATTGATTGCTCGATGCCTTAGAAATTATTTCAATTCTCCCAGTGATGAACTATGTTGGAAATATGCTTCGACTTTTTCTGTAGATCAGTCATCGTTCGAAAGCTCATTATGCACAACTGGAGCGATGGTAAAATCATTGATGTATATGATCTTAGTGACTACAAGGACAAATGGGGTTACGATTACCATATGTTTCATCGCATCGATCTGCATGAGCAACTACAGTTAAAGGCAAAGAGTCTAGGTGTCACTATTGTCGTTGATCATAAAGCGGTCGACGTTGACTTTGTACACGGCATTGTAACATTCGACGATGGCACATCAACTCGTGTTGATCTGATTGTCGCTGCCGATGGTGTTCGTTCGTGCATGCGAGATCTGATTGGCATTGTACCTCAAACAAAACAATGCACGAGTACTTGTTATCGCTGTATTATCCCAACATCGCGCGTGAAACAGCTTGGCCTTAAAGATTTTGCACCCAACAAGGGTATCGAGTTCTGGGGTGGTTTCGGCATTAATAAGATTGTCTTGACATCATGCTCTGATGGTGAAATTGTCGCGTTCTATTGCTTTTATCCAGCTGAACACAATGATCGAAGCGAAGAAGGCTGGAACTTCAGTGCCACATCGTCAATGTTATGCGCGCACTATCCTGATCTTGATCCTGATCTGTTGACAATCTTTCAACACGTTGAGGATATCAAACTATGGAAACTGGTCGTCCATGAGCCATACCCTTATTGGGTGAAAGGTCGAGTTGCTTTACTCGGCGATGCTGCACATCCAATGCTGCCTGATCAAAGTCAAGGCTCGTGTATGGCGATTGAGGATGCCGCAGCACTCGCGCTCATTTTCTCACCCGAATACTGGGGCAAAACAGTGCATACGGTGGAACATGGTCTTCAATTGTATGAGCAATTGAGAAAGCCGAGGGCGACACGAGTACAAGAGGCCAGTGCGCGCGCACGAGAGAATCTTAACGAGAGAATCGGTTGGAGTACAAAACGAGGCAATGATAACTTGGAAAATAAAATGGGAAAACTGACCATTGACGAGATCAACACTTACGACATGAATGAACATTTTAAAACTCTTGTTAATAGGTATTTACCAGCTGATTCAATTCATTGAAGTTGTTCGTAGCTTTTTTTTTGAACTACCAATAAATAGAAGTTTAATTTCCCTGAAAATTTATTTTCGACACGAATATTGCCTTGATGATTGTATCTTGTGAGATGATCAATCAAAAATGTATTACAATTGATCCTCAATTCTCTCTTGCCGAATGTACATCGAAGAAAATATTTGTACTCAAGTTTTTCTTTTTGCAAACACATCGATGATATTTCATAGAAGAGAAAAACTTGAGTCGGTCGTCTCTCAACAAGCGACGTGTTTCGTGCATCTTCTCGAAGAAAATATAGGATCCCATAGATCGCAGTAATGTAAAAGTCGAATTCTAAGTTCATATATTCAGACAATCATGACATGACAGTATGATAATCTCATGCAGTGCGAAAATGTCTGAACATTTGAAACCAGACATAAGATATTTAATATCTGAAGACAGATTTCCAGTTTGACATGTATGTAGATACAAACAGTCCAGTGTTGATCGAAGTAGTCACTCCACTGCGGAACAACCAACATGAAATTCTAGCATCATCCATATTGACGAATCCATGAGAAAAGAAAAGGAAATTTCTTTGTACATTCCAACATGATTCATGTGCATCGTTATTAGAATTACTTTTGTCAATAAACAGAATAGAACGATTTGATTGAGACAGATTACAGTAAGCAAATAGTTACCGATGTCAAGTTGTTAAGGTTTGAGTAGTTTAAAAGTGACGAAAAGACAAAGATTATTGAAAAGATCAATCATGAATAGAAGAAAAGCAGTGGAAACTTAGATACATTTCGTTTGTTTGGAATAATGCGTCACAAGTGAATCGAGAATGAAGTCAAACGGTTCTAAACTGAATTCAACACGATGTTCTTAATGGTAAGACGGACAAAGACAAATGAAATCTTTCAAATCTGTTCGATTCACTTTGAAGACATTGTCCTTCAGTCAAATATAGATCCCATTGATCGAATTGAATATCATGACTATGACAATCGGTACGATAATGGTCTTCTTGACAGAGACAAAGATAGTTGTTATCGTATGAACAAAGCCGTTCGGTATCATTTCGACTAATCTGATTGTAGCGAAAGATGTCTGAAACACACTGATCGATAGCTAAAGAAGAAGAAAAATGTAGTGATCTGACATGATCAGTTACTTATCTTACGAGAATAAAAATGCAACGTATGAACTATATTAAGGCGACAAGGGCATGAGTGTGAAGTTGAGTGGAATATGAGTCGTGGATTTTAACTTTTATAAAATTTACATCAACACCCATATCCTCAAGTGCTTTACAGATTAAGACAATGTCTGTAAATTCGTTATTCATGTTATCAGTGTTGGCGGTATCGAGTCATACCAATAGAAAATTTTTCATCATACGAACATAAAGAGGCGGCAATGGATTTATGCTCAAATGGTGTGGCATCCAGAGTAATTGTTGTTGATTTATTCTTTTTGTTCATATTGAACATGATATTTTATCAATGGAAAATGTACAATGACTTGAACTGATCAAATATATTAGTATTGTTTTTTCTAGATGTTTCTATCTGTTTTTGATTATTGTTATTATGCAAGTTGATTTTTTTTCTTTCGTTTTACTTGAGTGCTTTACTCCTTTCTTTTTGTTTTTTATCTGTGATTGTCCGTCTTGTCACAATACAATGAACGAGTGACAAAGAAATTGATGCATTGTAACTTGATTTCATACGCTGTCTCACATTTCACTTTCTATTTATAATGTCTGAAGGTTTTCTCTCCCATTCTTCGTGTGTCCATACGAGAGATACCTGACATGGCCAATAAGAATCTTGTAAAAATTCACCGTTCTTATTGAGGAAAGCATTCAACCACAGAGTTTAGAGATCTTTAAGGGATTTAAAACTAGGAGTTGGTTCAGAAGATTCATATTAATCTAAATATAAATGTTTAATAGATCTGAAAAATTGCCAGGTGTTTGCCATGATCTCTCTATTTGTTTATACAAAGATCCATTCGTCTCATTTTATTACTATTGATATTTTTCTTAAGATTAGTATTGAAATTAGTGTTGTGATTTAAAGATTTACTAATCTTGAACAAGTCCTGAACAAAAACCAGCTAACACGTTGATGAAGTCTTTATATTCATCTTGACCAGGATCCAGAATAGAATCCGTTATAAATCTTGATGGGATTATGAAAAATGAAATTCTGAATACAATCTGAATTTTTTTAAGAATCCAAAAAAGGTTGTTCCTAAAAAAAAACTAATCGTGTTTTATTCTTGCTAACGAGAACCGTCCGAAGTGATTAACCGCTTTTGAGTTCGGACTCTATACATAAGACAGNTCATGAATAACCGAATTAATTGCTGTGGAACTGATACAGAATATGTTTTCTATTTGCTGATACGTCGAATGAGGATCATCTTCAATTATTTTTCGTACAGCATCAATTGTTTGTTCATTAACAGATGTTGAAGGACGACCTGAACGTGGACCATCTTGAACACTAAAATTATCGCGTTGAAATTCACGAAACCAATTGAAGATTGTGTGATCAGAAGGTGCTTGCTCCCCCATGCTTGCACCAAACGGGCATGACTATCCTTGTATGTTAAGCCAATTTTCCAATCATATAAAATCATAGTGTGAAATTGTTCACGTGAGGGTTGAAAACTCATATCGAAAGTGATGCGAGGGTGACATGAAAAAAAAAGAAAAAGTACAACGATGGGTAATGCGTGGGCGGCTGAAATTTTGCACATAGTCCTAAATATGTTTAAGTATTATAGCGGAATAGATGTCCTCAAATTACCATTTCTAGAAGAGCTGTATGAAAAAAGTTGTGGAGTGCTCTATGTACAATAACCGTACATCATTGTTGACCTGTATTTATTTTCTTTCGAAAGTAGAATATATTCATTCGTTCTATTGCACCAATGTCATCAATGAAAACAATGGTCCATTTTTTCTATAATCTAAATCGTGATGAGTGTGTAGTCCAAAGAATGCAATGTGTTTCTCTCTTTCTTCTTCGTTCAACATACCTCATATGATAGATATTGACAGATCTTCTTTACTTATTGTACGATATCTATCGCAGTATAGCCATGAAAGATTATCACAAGAAAATGTATGTTTGTTTTGCTTTGCTCTTTGTCTGACAAAAGAAGATAAGAACTTCTTATCTTTTAAGAGAGAGTCCCCAAGACCACCAAACAAATCGACCACCGACAAATTTTTAATTTTTGATTTAGGCATCTCAAATGAAAGGTCTAGACAAACTGTAGACAAATTCGAAATATTAGCTCTTTGTGACTTGCCTGTGAAAAATGCCAAAGTAAACAAGTGATACCCATTTTGAGGCTTGATCAAAAGGTCAGTTTTATAGGATGATCTCAGTATTTTGCAGTTTTCTCTGCATTCGCTCATTCATTTGAGCTCGGAGACGTCTCAAAAGATGCAGAAATATTTTTCTACAAAATTTAGTAACTCATTATGTTCTACAATACCATTCATCAAATAATAATTACAATATACGAGCAAAAATGACCATTAGCTAAAATCAAGATTTTTCAGTATTTTGACTCTAGCCATACTGGATCATGCCATCCTAAAATTATTTATATATTTTCTGAAAGCCCTTGAAATTCTGCATCGTATAGGATATTACTTCGAAAGACTAAAACAGCAGCAAAAAAAGCTTTTCCATGTCACAAATGTTGGGGTGTGATGACCATCTCTATTAATTCGAACCTTAATCAGGATACTAAGTATTCTATTCTCATCGAAATCCGAAATATGACTTCATATTCGTAATCAGCATAAAAAGCTGACTATACAAAATGTTGTTTCATTGAATGCAAAGTCAATCAAGTAAAAATTATCCTATATTAAATACAATTAACTGGAGTGTATCTCCAAGTATATATCAATAAGCCTGTCTAGTCTCTTATGAGAATCTGTGGAATCGAATTTCATATTTCACTTAGAATCACTGGGCTCTTACCTTCAAAGTTACCTATGCATCTTTTTTATGTTGCTGTTTACTTTTGAGAAGATTCGATTCTCCTCGACGCTAATCTCAAAAAACAAAACTAAAAAAATTGTGTCCATATGTGGTGAGTTTCATTATCATAGCTTACTCTGATACAGAAATGAATATCATATTCAGAATCAGCGTGGGAAAGTATGTCGAATAACATATATTTTGGAAACATTTTTTTCTATGAAAAATTGACCCGTGGAGAATCACAGACAAAGTTTCAGAAAAGTACCTCGAAGGGAACCATATGGTGTGAGTATGGGTGCGATTATTAGATTTTATTTACACCCACCCACCCACACCCACACCCACACCCACATTCTATTCCTGTCGATTTTCTTCAACTAATTCATCATGTGAAATTAAGGTCGATGACATTCGTTTTATTTTCTCAGCCCCATTCAATCTCACAGATCCAACAACTTATCGCTTGAAACATTTCTTCTCTAGAACAAAGAAAGGAGTTTCGAAAAAGATCACAATGAAAATGGCAGCCAAATAGCTAAAAAACAGTTGAGACACGTAACTATTGAGACAAGTCATGAATTGATAGTATAACGGATTTGATTGATTGAATACTGTAATCAAGATGACTGTCATATGAATCAAATAAGCAGCATAATTAAGACGTACTAATGGTGACCACAGAGGGGAAGACAATATTTTGTTAACAATACCACCTTGATTGATACTACACAAAAATATAAGCCATGCAACGGAGATTGACCAAGCAGGTCGCGAAAGTATTTCATAGGCAATCGTTGATGTGCCACTGAGACCAGACGGATGTATAGAATTACCGTAGTTCGAAAATATAGAAGCTAGAGCTAAGATGGTAGCGAAAATATTTCCGATAACACGTGCATTACGGTTCAAATGATAGTTACGACCCGTATTGAAAATAAGAAACCCGGTGAGAAGTCCAATAGCATATGATGCAATGCGACACCACGGAGCCATGTAGACTTTGTCGAAGAAAATCGGTCCCGTCTAAAAATGAGTAGTAACACAATCAGGATTAAAGAGAAACATCCTCGATTGACTTACCGCATTGTTTGAAAGACCCGTGTTAGTTTTGGCAAGACTCGGATAGTAGAGAAGGAGACCAAGGATCGATCCGACACTGACTAATATGAAGAGTATGGTCATTATGTATCCTATAGCCTTTCTTCCCTTCACAAATGGAATCAATGCTAGCGGTGCGATCCAATAAAATTGCATGTCATTATAAAGATACCATGTAATGCCAAGACACAGATCATCTGATTTTAAAAAGTTACCAATGTATAAAAACGCAGTCCACCAATTGCCACTACGGCACTTATCCGGTTCGAATCCTTGTTGGATAGGATAAAGAGGCCCATGACCGAAATAGGGAGTTAGATAAATACTGACAAACATCACTAATATGAAACTCGGTGTCAAACGAAGATATCGATGAATATAATACAAAACCATGAGTCGTAGAGAGAGTTGTTCTTTTTTTACTTGTCGCACGAAAATCACTGCAGTTAGAAAGCCGCTGAGAACAAAAAATGTATCAACAGCAAAAGCACCACTGATTAGCAAATGAATGACGATATCGCGCCTAGCAGCTTGCATGTCAGTGATATTCCATGCGTAATATATGCCGGAAGACAACGAATGACCGAGGATAATCCAGAAGAGCGAAAAAACACGAATACCATTGAGGCATGTGAAAGTGTTCTCGTTTTCTGTTTTGCTTATCATGAAAATACATCGTAGTGTACGAATGGCCGAAAACTCTCCAAGAAACCCAACGAAAGGCATTCTTTTGGTCAACAATACCAATGATTCATTAGCTAAACTGAGCGGTACGTTTTTGTTCGAAACTGTATTCGATAAATCGTGATTTTCGTGATTATGCATCTTTGCATTTCTCTTCGCGTTGTCGTACATATGAAATGCGGCATCAATGAATGTTCCAATCAATACAATAAGAACCAAAAGCGAAAGAACAATAATAAAGGCAATAGTACCCTTCCGATGACTATTCGGCTCGTTGAACCGATCGTTCGAACAATGTAAATGATCTCTTGTTAAATTTGTAACGTTGGATATTTCCTGTATGAGTTTGATAATTGACTGACGAGTGCAAGACGCTGGTAGGCAGAGGCCAAGAATTAAACCGGTTCTTACCTCTACTGGTTGACTGGGATTGGATTGGAGAGCACCTAGAAAAAGCAGGCTTTGTTTTCTTCAAGAACGAGACAAAAAACATCGACTTACAGTACTGAGTATCGATTGGCTGTGGGACGAAAGATCTATTTTTTTCTTGATACAAATCATTAATGCATTCATCATAGTTACCTATCCAGAAGATATTTCCTGTCAATATACCAGACGGCAATGGTTTGCCCCAAGCATCGAACACTTTCAATGCCCATAGCTCACGTTGAGATGCAGCAACAATTAATGTTTCTAGATCTCGTTCACAAGCGTTGCTCGGATTGCTTGAAAATGATATTTTATTTAGGAGTAATTCCGGTCGAATAGATACAATAGGTGTATCAATGGGATTGTTTCTAAGGCCTGGATAAACTTCATCAAAACCCCACAGTGTTGGAATCGTTTCGTATCTTATTGCACTAAGGATGGATGGCGTTACAAAAAAAAGTAAAATAAATAGTAAAGTAACGAACGTCTTTACCATCTAAAGACTAATGAAGTCCAAAATACCAGCGAAAAGAGATGTTAAGCAACAAACCAAGGTAAATTTATATCAGCAAAAACTTGTTGAGAATTTGATAACACTGTTATTTGCACAAGGATATTTATCTTAGCACGCAGTTCTTATTAATTGTTGCTTATCTCGTGAGGCTTTAATAATAGTAAAGCACATAACAGTCTTTTGCTTATAGAAATGTGGGTGTGAGTGTGGTTCATCCTAATACTAACATCCACACCAGTGTACAATCGAGCTCATTCTGTTCCCGATCCCATTAGAATCATCACCCCTGTGTTCAATCTACATTATTATATATGTTGTTCATGAGCGTAATCCACATCATCGTTCTAACCACCTTATGATTTGTATTGTTGTGATTGATTTTGTCGAACTTATGTGTAATCTTCTTCTAATGTCACTCAACTAATTCCCTACAGGCTAAGCTTTCAGTCTATCAATCTGCCGTTATTGTGTCATAGAAAACTACTCACTGTAAGGCGGCATTTCAAGCTGGTTGATAGCATGAGCATCTATCGATCGCTGTCTTCTCATATTTTCTCGTCGCTATCGAGATATATTTCTCAGGCATGAGATGACACTTTTGGGTGTGTGTTTTTGTTGTTGGTTGGTATATTACACTCTTACATTCACTCAGTCATGGAACAAAAACTGGTTTGATAGTATTCAATTCCTTCGTGGTGATACATGCTTTAATATTGACATCATCATTGTTAGTGCCGATTAGATTCTCACCGTAATCATTCCAACACTACCGATTGTTGTGTTTAATTCACTTCTTCTAGATAGAGTCATCATCTTTCAAAAACGTCGACTGCGGTCTATTGT